TAATGACATTTTTTTTATAAAAATATCTTTAATGACATAAAAGTGTCACTATTTCTTAACAAAATACATGAGCATGAAGCAGTGACACTTATACATTTTTTACGAAGTAAATTTGAAGGCGCGCGACACTGTTCATATTACTTAACGCCGGCCCACATACTTAATTTTCATACGCTCAGTTATCCTTCTCTCTGTGAACCCTAACTCCTCGATCGATTGTTGGCTTTTCTTGGCCCTGCCGCTTGACACCATCTCCATGTTTAAGTAATTTGAACTTCATGAAGGATTGTCGTCGAGTTCATTCATCGACGCCCCACAGTCACTCTACCCTTGAGCCTTGGGAGTTGAAATCATGAAGCCAATAGAGTCTAGCCTCGCGAGTTCCAATCGTTCTAGTGAGTAGTCGGCACCAGCCTCCGGTCCTCTAGAATCCAAGACGTACAACACCAGTCTTGAGAATAGATTCATATTTCTTATTGATTAAGGAATTAAAGGTATGTGTTTCTAAGTTCTAATTTTTTATTTCATGGGTCGATGTTCTTCTATTGGATCCCATCCACCCTTTGTTCTGGACTTTCGATGCAATTTTTGTGTTCATATGTGCAGATTTTTAGGTTTCTTGGTTGGAAGGGAACATGTGGTTTCGTGTCAACCCTCCTAGAGGTGCAATTGATTTTTCCTCAGTTTTCTTAGGTGGGAAATTTATGTATTGATTTGTGTTTAGAAGATTTGTAAAGGAGTGATGGAAACTGTTCAACTCAAATTGTTCGTTAAAATTCCTGAAAAGCATTCACCATAGATGTTACATGATAGAGGTTACTTAGTATTAGCTCAGGTTTGTTTTATAGATTATTGTTTTACTTAGTATATGCTTCTATATTTTGCAAAAATATGCTCATTGCCATATTTATTTGATTACATTCTTTGTATATATCCAAGTATACGACATGGAGAAAGGCAATGGGAGGCTCAAGGATACAAAGTCGGATCCTCGCTCCAGGAGGAAGACAAGCTTGAGCTAGCCAAATCCCTCATTGAGAAGGCTATGTCTAAGGAAGTCTCATTACTGCCTCCTACTGATGTTGCGATTGCAAACAAGTTTTCTGATGATGCTAACAACGAGGTGGTTAGCACAACTGAAATTCCAGATGGGTGGATGGGGTTAGATGTGGGACAAGACATAATCAATACATTTGGTGAAGCTTTGGATATCACCCAAACAATCATATGGAATGGGCCAATGAGTGTTTTTGAGTTTGAGAAGTTTGCTACTGGCAGAGTGGCAATAGCTAAGAAATTGGCAGAGCTTAGCGGACAACAATTATTGGAGGTGGAGACTCGGTTGCAGTGGTTGAGAAGATCAAGTTGGTAGAAAAAATAAGTCATATCTTGACAGGAGGTGGTGCTAGCCTGGATCTGCTCGAGGGGAAATTGCTTCCTAGTCTTCTTGCACTTGATGATGCTTGAAAGAAACAGCAGTTGTGCATTTCCTCCTTAATTGATTGATCCGATGCTCTTTGATTTATATTCCTTGACATAGACATTAATCTTAATCAATAATGGATCTTTAAAATACAAAACCAAACTCCAGATTGTAAGCTGCAGCTTCTTTAGGTCATTTTAAGTTTAAGGAATCATAATTGAGCATCAAAGCGCATGAGTTTACTTCAAAAAAAATCCTTGTATACGACATATGGTTTACTTTCCGTTTCCCTCCTTCTGGACACTCTTTAGCTCTTCAATATTCATACAAATCCCCTTACTGCACATTTCCTCTTTTATTTTTCAGGTGAGGTGCCATAGTTTCATTGTTGTCACCGGAGCTACTGCAAAACGACTCAGATTACCTTGAGAAGAAGAATTTTGGAGTAGAGGAATAAGTGCATGTGCTATTTGTGATGGCGCATCACCGCTCTTTAAAGGCCAGTTCCTTGTTGTGGTTGGAGGTGGTGATACAGCTACTGGAGCAATATACTTTACCAAGTATGCACGTCATGTGCATTTATTTGTCCGCAGAGACTATATTAGAGCATCAAAGGCAATGCAAGATAGGTAAATAACATGAACAAATAACATTCTCATGTTATTTTGTTTTGTTTTTAAAATGCTTTGATTAAATAGAGCTCATACACATGAGAAATAGCTGCTTATGGTGACCCCTTGGGCTTGTTTTTTAGGATATTTTAGAGGGGAGGAAAGGGATGATTGACTTACCTTTTACTAATATAACTACTTGTTTTATTAGTAAAAGGGGTCAAGGGGGAGGAAAGGGATGATAACTTACCGTTTTGTTTTCAAAGCGCAAGAGTGCTTGTTTTTGCAGGTAGGTGTTTGGGTTAAAGCTGCTACCTATGCTTTAAACAATGTTGAGCAATGGATGGCACCCAAAAAGGTAAGATTTCCTACTTCCTCCCAATGCTGAAAGATTTAACATAGCTTTATTATTATTAGTCTTTGAATGGAAACATAGTTGTATTACTATGCTCTTCTCTAATTGAGCTAACAAGCATCTTCCCTGCTTTGATCTAGGAATGTGTGCATTCTTTTTAATTTCTTTAACACCTTAATACTTTCAGGTGCTCCAAAATTCCTTTAACATAGCTATATTAATATTAATATTATTATTATTATTATTATTATTATTATTATTATTACTATTATTATTACTATTATTTGGGTCGTGTATTAGAGAGTTTTGACAAAATCGATTAGCATGTAAGTTCCGCCATAGCTACTGCTTGCAAAGATGATGACATTATTTTTTGTATACTCCGTATTGAGTAAAAGAATGACGGCAGCTGCCATAGTTCCTGCAAAAGTGCTAAGTATATTGATGACTAAGTTACTTTTTAGTTAAATACTAACTTACTTTTCTCAAGTACTGATATAAAAAATTGACCACAGAGTATTTCTTTTATTTCAGATTTTTTGCTACAAGTAATGATGGCACAGTCCTGCAAAACTAATTAAAATTAAAGTAAAACCTTTTTTACTTTTAATTTCATATGCTCTGTGCTCGCTAGCTAATTGTTTTTAATTTTTCCCCTGTTATAACTTTATCTAGATTTAGTTCAGTTTCATATTTTGATCAAATTCATTGTTTCTTCTATTTTGGGAATGGATTTAATAACTTAGTTGAGGGGTAGTTTCTCCTCCTTGGACACTCACTTTGTGTTTAGGATGAGACCATACGGTAAGGGGGATGCAAAGAGAAGAAGTCTGCTTCATTTTTTATGGGATTAGAAAGATCAAATACTTGGAGGATTTCACATATTAGTCCACCTAGGCCCTTATTATACTCATTAGAAAATTATATAAAATATACTCCGTATTAAGCAACTGGTATATATCTTTGGATTGCTAACACTACATGTCTCTATATTATTTCTTTTTTGTTTCTAACATTTTCAGCCATTTGGGATTAATAAACTATATCAAGCAACTGGTGACCAATTGCATGTATTTATTTTTAGTGTTATGTCTCTTCTTCTTTTCCCTCCACTGTTGCCGGATGTGGGCTTTGGTTTAATTTTGAGCGATGTACAACTTTGAGTTTGTTTAAACTGTTCATCTTTATATTGTCTCACTATGAGAGTTTCTAAAGTAGATTTTGCATGTACTAGAAAAAATGGACTTTTAAGAGTGTCTACTTTGATTATGATGAAAAAAGTCAAGCAGTTGTGGGTGGTGATGATAGAAATGCAAGTATTGGTTTAAGCTTTTCAATGATAGGTATTTTTATTGTTCTGTTTTCACAAAATTAGCTATGATTTTTCATTCTCCATGAGTTGTTCTCCTTGAGTTTAATAGAACTGGAACACATTTTTATTGTTCTGTTTTCGCAAAATTAGCTATGATTTTCATTCTCCATGAATTGTTCTCCTTGAGTTTATTAGAACCCGAAACACATCTTAAATTGTTCTCCTTGAGTTTATCATCTCAATAACTATGTTTTTGATTTTGCTCTCTTACTGGTCCTTCAACATGCTTCAACAGTGAATTTCTCGTACAAGCAGCAATTTGGTCTTTTCAGAAAGCAAAGGCCAATCAACTAGCTTGATTTACTGGTGCAATTTTCAAGCCAGAAAGAGTTGTGGTATCTTTCGGGCAGTTTTTATGCCAAGTTCGCAAATATGCTAATGTTCAAGGCTTCTTCTCGTAGTTGATGTTTTGGCACATGTGCTTTTATTTTAGGTTGCATTTTGTTCTTGTTTAATTATTTCATAGTACTTATTACTTCGGGGTATGCCCCTATGAATTGTGTAGTATATACATTCACATTTATGTGAGAATAAATAAAAATGTTTGAAATTTCGGTTATTTACTAGTATTAAATTATACTCCGTATATATTACAATTAACGTAGCATGTGTATGTTTTCATAGCATGTCATTGAGTTTTACAATAGTGTAGTGTCACTGAATTTTGTGATCCATAGTGTCACCGAGTTTTATGATACCATAGTGTCATTGAGTTTTGTGATACTAAAGTGTCATAATTTAGTGACACTAAAATAAAGATTGTTTTAAAAAATGTGATTAGTGACTATAGAAGTAACGTAATCATAATAACTTATATTCGTTTTTTACACTTAATTGATTATGACACTATATAATAGTAATTATTAATTTTATTTGTGTAAATAAATTTTATTTTAAGAGTTGTTTTGGAAAAGGGAAAGTTCCCGAAATGGGACTAAAAAAGTTCGAAAATTCCAAAATAGGACTGCCATGTTTTTATTCCCAAAATAGGACTAATTACTGCCAAATTTGGAAAATACTGCTATGTTTGAAGTCTGGTACTGCCAAAACATGACAGTAATTAGTCCTATTTTGGGAATAAAAACATGGAAGTCCTATTTTGGAATTTTCAAATTTTTTTAGTCCCATTTTGGGTAATATCTCTTTGGAAAAAATGATAAGGATAGAATGACATGATTGGCAAAAGTAGAATAAGGAAATAAAAAAGGAAAGAAACGCAAATATGGAGTATTTTATACCGGAGAAACAAAAAAAAAGACGGAAGCTTGAAAGAGGCGAGAATCTCAACTCTGAAGTTTCTCACTATCACAGACTCACAGGGTTCGTATTTTATACTTTCCGCTGAATACTTCTCACTAATAAAAGCGTCTCCATCCCCGCCTCCAATCATTTTTTTCCAATTAAAGAAATATTATTTCTACCATATTCTTATACCGAGTATTGTATATATATATATACTGTGTCTTCAATGAGTTGTTTCTACGCCAATTGCCCCGTGCTGAATCTTCTTCTCCTCTAGCTTTCATATATCGCCTAAACCCCTGAATCGGCAGATTGGGTTGTTATTCGATTGCTGATTCAGAGGGTTCCTTAAATTTCTGTCCAGAATTTTCAATCATGAAAGGCAAAGGAGTGCAGGTTCTGGAGGTCAAGAGAGATGGATTCTCTTCAAATTCTCAATTGGGTTTTCAATGGAGTCTCCAAGATGCGAACTTTTGCCCAGGTGGGCTTTTTGCCTCAGTGGGGCAGATGGGGGGCAGTATGGATTTCGGCGTTTCATCTCCAAACCAACCAGACTCTCGGGACAGTAACGGGGGATTCAAGCTTCCCAATTTCGATTTGTATTTGAAGTACTTCTCATCACTTGAGGGGTATAGGGTTCTTGGAGTTCCTGGGGAGGAGGAAGGGGCTGGCAAGAAGAAGTCCAGGCTGAAGCTTAAGGTTAAGGTTGGGAATCCTTCACTTAGGAGGCTGATAAGTGGTGCAATTGCAGGGGGGGTTTCAAGGACTGTTGTAGCACCCTTGGAAACCATTCGGACTCATTTGATGGTTGGGAGTAGTGGGCATTCAACTACAGAGGTGTTCAATTCTATTATGGCACATGAAGGTTGGACTGGATTGTTTAGGGGAAATTTGATTAACGTGATTCGTGTTGCACCTAGCAAGGCCATTGAGGTAGACTTCTATGTATAAGTATTGTTTTAAGTTTGATTGACATGTTTGTAAATCTGTGTTTTCATTCTGTATAATTATTATACTGTTATTTTCTTGACACATTGATTTTGTTGTTGGAAAAATTTAGTCTTTTCTGTTTTAGGTTTGATGGATATGTCGGTTAAGTTGACCTGTTATTTCATATCTGTTGTTTGTGGAGATATTTTTTTTGTTGCAAAGATTTGATCTTTTTTTGAGGTTTGATTGATATGTTGGTTAAGCTGTGCCCTATTCCACTTTTATTTATATATTGAGAATTTGAGATACTATTTGTTGGCAAAATATGATCTTTTTAAGCTTTGATTGATATATTAGTTATGTTGTTCCCTGTTCCACGGCTTTTTACAGAATATTATTTTTTGGCAAAATTTGATTTTTTTAAGGTTTCATTGATATGGTGGTTATGACAATGTTATGTTTTGCCCCATTCCACATTAATTGGATTGTTGAGATATTATTTTGGTTGTTGACAATGAAGTTTTCTGAATTAAGTAGTCATGAGAATTCTTAAATAAGCCTTTATGAACTTATTAAAGTACATACAGTATGCCCAAAATTGCTAAAGTAGAATCTTTTAGGCATTGAGCTACTGTGAGACCATTGTTGCACATTTACTCTCATTTGGGAGAAGTTGTTTACTGTGGAGATGCATCATGTTTACTTTCTTCTTTGTATGTTGGCATGGGAATCAACATTGCTGTCAAGTTTCATCTTTGTTTATATAACACTATTATGTACTTTGCCCTTTTGAACATGCTTATAGTAGAAGGTTTATCTTGAATGTGCAAGAGGTTCACTTTTTAAAAACTTTGTAATATTTGCTAGGTCACATTATAACTAGTCCTAGATATGAAACTTGGAATGGTTTTGTTTTCATTTTCAACAGTAGCAAGAGTAGAGCAACATTATTTTCATGTATGATTAGTTTTTGAAGTCTTGAGAAAAGTAAAGCCTCACAACATTGTTTTTCTTTCTTTTTTTTTTAAAAAAATTATGCACCAGAAGTTTACTTTCCCTTGGATTAGAAAACTGCAATCACTGCATTGATTGGTGTCATTCTTCAGAGGTGAAGAAGAAAGATCAAGTCTTTCGCACTATGCCTTGCCACTTTAATGACAGTGAATTCATTTTCGATATAAAGTTTATAGTTTATTGAATGGCTGCTAAATGTCGTTTGTGCTATGCAGCTTTTTGCTTATGACACGGTAAAAAAGAACTTGTCACCCAAACTTGGTGAGCAGCCTAAACTTCGTGTTCCTGCTTCATTAATTGCCGGAGCATGTGCTGGCGTCAGTTCAACCTTGTTGACATATCCTCTTGAGTTGGTGAAGACTCGACTTACAATTCAGGTTGATTTCATGACACTTTTTTTGTTTGCAGACACAAAACCATTGTTTGAATGATATATGGTCTATTTGGACCCTGATAATTAATAGAAAAGGAAAAAGTGTTTAGGAAAAACTAGAAGAAAGAAAGCAATAAACTGTTGAGGATAGACAGTTTATTATTATATCTTAGACTAGAACTCAGTGCTTTTTATTGACAGTTGTCACTCATTTATTATTATATCTTAGACTTTTATATAAATACTTTTTTATATACATATTATCTAATTGTGTGTAAAATTCAAACAAAAATAGACTACTCATATTTTGAGCTCATTTAGTTGGACAAGAGATGGGTGAGCCTGTTAAATATGCTGAAATTGGGAAAGTTATGATTGGTTGGCTGAGTTGAGTAAAGAGAAGATCTTAAGGGAAAAAATTGGCCCTCTTCAACAAATTCCGCCAAAAGTACCTCTAACCTTACTTTTTTTCATTACTAACCAATTCAACGCATGAAATAAAAAAAATGTTTGGTGAAAAATCTTGCTCATAAACCTCATTGGCCAAACAAATCCGCCAAAACTACCTTTAAGGCTCTAACCTTATTTTTTCATTATTAACCAATTTAACACATGAAATTTAAATAAAAAGTGTTTGGTGAAAAACCATGCTCATAAACCTCATTGGCCAAAAAACAAGATTACTAAACAGGCACTTCGTTTTCTTTTTGCATTTTCCAATGTAAAACCAAAGACAACATAATCACTTTACTTAAGCTTAATCCCTTTCTCTTGCATTTCTTGTGATCCAAACATATCCGTAGAGTTGAATGAATGATTGTCTTGAAACTGTAGAGAGGAGTGTATGAAGGTCTATTTGATGCATTCGTGAAGATTCTGAAAGAAGGTGGGCCGAGAGAGCTCTACCGCGGGCTCACTCCGAGTTTAATCGGAGTGATTCCGTACGCTGCAACCAACTACTGTGCATATGACACCCTGCAAAAAGCATACAAAAAGATTTTCAAAGAAGAGAAAATCGGAAACATCGAGACCCTGTTGATTGGATCCATGGCGGCTGCTATTTCCAGCACTGCCACCTTCCCTCTAGAAGTGGCTCGTAAGCACATGCAGGTAGGTGCTGTTAGCGGGAGGCAAGTTTACAAGAATTTGATCCATGCCCTGGCTAGCATCCTTGAAAAAGAAGGCGTGCCCGGTTTGTATAAGGGGCTGGGACCCAGCTGCATGAAGTTGGTGCCAGCTGCTGGGATTTCTTTCATGTGTTATGAAGCGTGCAAGAGGATCTTGGTAGAGAAGGAAGATGAAGAGTAGAAAAGAGCATTTTAACACACTTAAAGATGAAAAGGCAAAATGAAGTCCATTATTGAATCTATTTATTACGGAGGATGTTTTTCTTCCTTATTCCGACATGAGAATGATTTAGCATATTTTACCAGGAATGCTTTTAAAGAATTTTGGTTTTGTTTCTAAGTCAAACGACTGGAATCTGATTGGGAAGAAATTTTGGGGGATCTTTTGAAGGAAATGGCTTTTAGTTTGTGTCATTGCTCTCTGGTGTAGTAGTTTTCAATTGTTCTCTTTACCAGTTACTTTGTTTCCACGTTCTTCATTATGATGTGAACACAACTATGAACTACACTAATACCAATTTTTTAAGTCAAACCTAAAAGCAAAGACTGCTATATCTGTTTTGTCTTGCACGGTTGCACATCTCTTACTTGTTTGTAAGTAAAGGCAGATTTCATTTCCAAGCAAGGAACTAAGGAAGTTTCCCCATCATATCCAAAATTTTACATCCTTTTCAAACTGGTTCTTTTGGATTGATTATGGTGTTCTGCTCCTTCCCGATGCCTAAGTATGATAATAATAATGTTAAATCTATAATAATGTTTTCATATAGACTAATCTCAGTCTTTGATAAGACTGCAAATATAAACAAATCATTTTAGATTTGATCGTACTTAAAGAATATAAAAATACAAAAAAATTCAAACGTGACTTGACTAGATTAGTTGAGACTAGATTTATACAAACTGATTCAGACCAAGTCAAATTTAAACGGCCTAGATCAAATTAGTTCATACTCCCTCCGTTCTTTATTATCTGTCTCGCATTCCATTTTGGGACGTTTTTTATTATTTGTCTCTCTTTCTATTTTAGGAAAGTTTTTGATAAAATACCCCCACTTTTTTTACTTTTACCCCTCTTACTTTTTACAAACTACTTTCTCTTTCCTACTTTATCATAACTTTACTCTACTTAATATACTCTCTTTCCTACTTTATCATCACTTTATCACCACTTTACTCTTTTTAATACACTCTCTTTTCTACTTTATCATTTACCCTACACACTCTACATTTACCCTACTATTTTTCTATTAAAACCCGTGCCCAAGGCTAGCGGGACAGATAATAAAGAACGGAGGGAGTATTAGATTTGGCAATTTCGGGGCTACAAAAAACGTAGAAGTATTGGGGTAATATGCACAACAAATGTACCCTTATTTTATCTTAAATTAGCACTCATTATTAAGTCCTAAAAGCAGTTAACAATTTTTTCTTTGCTGTAAAGCTATTACTTTTAACAACAACAATAAAGACATACAATTATAACATTGTTAACGATGCAGGTATGAATGGTTTGTAAATAAAACTATGGTGCTGTTCTGTTCGTCTTATTCTTATTACTTATTGCTTATTCTTATTTTATTCAGATCAGATCAGATCAGATCAGATCAGAAAAATTCAGATCAGATCAGATCAGATCAGAAAAATTCAGATCAGATCAGATCAGATCAGAAAGATTCAGATCAGATCAGATCAGATCAGAAAGATTCAGATCAGATCAGAAAGATTCAGATCAGATCAGACCAGATCAGAAACATTCAGATCAGATCAGAAACATTCAGATCAGATCAGATCAGAAAAGTTCAAACATGATTTATCATTTTTATTATTATATTAAATATTAATTATTATTATTAATATTGTTATTACTCTTATGATTATTATTATATAATTATTATTAATAATATTAATAATAATATGATAAAAAAAAGATATTAATAATAGTTATAATATTTTAATATAATAATAGTAATATAAATGCAATTGTTAAGAAGACTATTATTATTATTATTACAATATTATAATAATAATAATAATATGATTAATATTATTATAATATTATATTATAATTATATGTAATTATAATATTAATTACAATTATAATTCTTATAATTATAAGTATAATCAATTGTAATTATTATAATTATATCTATAATTAATTATAAATATAATTGTAATTAATGATAATTATAATAATTATAATTATAATTACAATCATAATTATAATTATGATTATAATTATAATTATAATATAATATTATAATAATATATTACTAATTATAATAATAATCATATTATTATTATATTATTGTAATAATAATATTATTATATTATTGTAATAATAATATTAATATAATAATATCGTTATAATAATATTAATTGTATTTATATTACTATTATTAAATTATAATATTATAATTAATGTTAATATAATTATAATTATTATTAATTATAATTATAATAATTATAATTATACTTATAATTATATTATAATTATAATTTATGATTATAATTATTATTTTTATTATAATTATTAATATTATTATTATTATTACTATTGTAATTATTTTACGGAGTAATTATAATAATATTGATAACTATAGTTACAATTATAGAGATAAATATTGTAATTATAATTACAATTATAATTATAATTTATTTAAATTATATTTGTAATTGCAATTATAATAATTATAATTATAATTATAATTATAATTATAATTATAATCATAGAAATATTCGAATCAGATCAGATCAGAAAGATTCAGATCAGATCAGAAGGATTCAGATCAGATCAGAAACATTCAGATCAGATCAGACCAGATCAGAAACATTCAGATCAGATCAGAAAGATTCAGATCAGATCAGATCAGATCAGAAAGATTCAGATCAGATCAGATCAGATCAGACAGATTCAGATCAGATCAGATCAGATCAGAAAAATTCAGATCAGATCAGATCAGAACTTAAAAAATTCAGATCAGAAACATTCAGATCAGGCGAAGAGAACAGCTTCTATGAAAGTAATAATATTATCTACTGTAGTAGTAACAATACTAGTAATAATTTTAATAATTTTAATTCATTTGTAGTAGCAACACCAAAAGTATATTCATGTAAAAGTATGCTAGTTTGTTTTTTTCTATTGTTGCACACTTATATGGTTAAAAAACTTATTTTACCCAAACATGCGTTGTCTCGACATACCATTTAGGGTAGTCATGGACCCGGGCCGGGCCGGGCCCGGCCGGGCTTTTTTTTTGGGAAGGAAGGCCCGGGACCGGCCCGGGTAGCCACCGGGTCCGGTCTGGGTCCGGGCCGGGCCTCCGGTTTGGTCATTTTTTTTTTTGCTTTCCTAACCCCCCCCCCCCTCACCCCCCAAACCCCTCCTAACCATCAAGCCCAACCCGGGAAACCCCAAAAAATGAAAAAAAAATCAATTCGGCCCGGACCCCGGCGGCCCGGCCCGACCCGGCCGGGCCGGTTTGCCAAATACAAGGCCTGAGCCCGGACCCGCCCCCCTCACCGGGCCTAGGCCCGACCCGGACCCGGACCCGAGAACCGGGCCGGTTCCGGACCCGCACAGTAGCGGGCCGGGCGGTCCGAACCGGGTCCATGACTAATTTAGGGCGTTATTAATTAGTCTGAAACTTTCTGGTCTGATCTAGTATGGTCTCATCTGTTTCACTTTGGTCTTGTCTGGTCTAGTTTAATTTGGTCCGACCTTGTCCGGTAAATGTCTGGTCTCCGTGTATTTTATAAATGTCTAAGTCTGGTCTGGTTTGGTATGTTTAAGGATGTTTTTACTTGGACTGTAATTTGCCCCAGACCAGACCAGACCAGTCCAGACCAGACCAGACCAGACCAGACCAGACTTGGATAGTTATAAAAATACAAAGAAACCAGACCTTACCAGACAAGACCAGACCATATCAGACCAGACCAGACCAGCAAATTACAGTCCAAGTAAAAAGAAAAACTAAATACAAGTATGTATCTACGTAATCTAACGTTAGTCCAACTCATGGCTAAGTGGATCTTCTAATAGAGTAATTAATACTTTAATTAGGTTTCCATATTTATTATGTTTCCTAATGTACTCAGAACACCTTTTATTATATATATGACATCTAGGGCTACCACATTGGTAAGCCTCCCATTTATTCTCACATGGTATCAGAGCTTTAGGTTTTAGCCAGTTATATTTTTTTTCCGAATCGATGGCTTCTTCCCCTACAGCCACGTCTGAGGTCGCCGAGCCTATCGTCACTGTGGCCGAACCACCACCAGTAACAGAACCTGTGCTTTCTAGCGCGGTGGATACCCCGCCGATGTTCTCGACCGGCATCATGGCGCCGTCCTTCACCGACGAGCAACTCTATTCATCGATCCCTTCAATTGGTTTTTCTTTCACGTGGGTGCCTCCAATTTTTACGTGGACTCTGACGGTCCCGACGCTTCGTCCGCTGCAGCCCCACAACCCGAATATTGCCGAATCCAGTATTACCGGTGCTCATCGTTTCGCTGGCAGCACTCTCTCGGGCCAACCGGGACTGATTTTGCTGCCTCCAAGCACCGGTCCAATCGGTACTCGATCTCCAACCGTGACATTGCCTACGTCATATGCTTCTCTTGCTCAAGGTATGAGTTTTGGTGCTTCTTCTATCACTACCATAGTTACAATTAAATTGTTGAAGGTAGAAGATTACTTGTCGTGGCATACTCAATTTGAGTCGTTTTTTGTCTCAAACGGACTCTTGGGAATCCTTGATGGCTCACTTCCGGCGCCGCCTCCTTATTCATATGATTTATATCAAAACCAGAGTATAAATCCTGAGTACTACCACTGGCTAAAATTGGATCAGACAGTTCGTTCTTGGTTATTTGCTACGCTGTCTAGGGAGATACTAATGGAGGTTCACTCATTGAAAAATTCCAATGCCATATGGCAGCGCTTGGAATCCCGTTTTATGGCGGCAAGTCTGGCCAGATCCATGGAATTAAAACAACAGTTAACCCATACCAAGAAAAAGCCAACTCAAACCATGGATCAATATTTGGGTGAACTTAGAACCATTGCTGAAAATTTAGCCTCCATTAATTCACCGGTCCCTAATCATGATCTCTTGGAATATGCACTTATGGGATTGGGTCCGTGTTATGAATCACTTGTGGGGCCACTCACTTTGTTTCCCGAAGGCCTCACGTTTGATTCCCTATGCACCAAGCTTGTTCAACAAGAGGCTCGTCTCCAATTACAACAACGATTGGACTCCACTATTGGCTCCCCTGCCTTTGTCGCATCATCTTCATCCGGCAGTGCTGCACCCGCATCATCCTCGGGCGGACAGCAGCAGCAACAGTTTCATCGCGGGGGTCGCGGGGGTCGCAGAGGACGAGGACAGCGTGGTCGTGGTCGAGGCCGCGGCAGAGGGCAACAATACCACCAGTCTGCCGGGTAGCCACAGTACGATGGACCGCAGCAGTATGCTGGGCAGCAGTAG